ATGTTAATATTTAAACCGTATTTTCAACTTCATTCTTCAATTGGATACGGAATTTCGCAATGTCGCCAGTAGAAAACCTAATAAATACTTAGGATTTGGGAATAAATTTCGTCTGTTGTGAGTTGGTGTAGCCCACTGCAAACAGCACACACATAGTTGGTTCGATTTTGCCGTCTGTGCATAGCAAACTCTTCATTTTCCCGTCATCGCAAAATTGGTACCAGATGTGACCGAGGTAAAAACACTTACTTGATATATTGGTGAGCCACTAAGTTGTTTACATAGCCAGTATATGTATTTAGTCACCTTTACGATGCTTATAGAAGTTGATTGCGTAACACATTCCTAAGGGATTGATGATTCGATTTGTACCCTTACCTTCATCACACGGAGACCTTTTAAGTCTTTGCGTGTGAATTGAGCTACTGCTTGAGAATTTTCCTTTCGTTGGAAGTGTAGTCATATGCTAGTCAGGTATTTTCTATCTGAAGTCCTGAGTTAGCCGGGTAAAAGCGTTCACAGTCCTCATAGTTGTTAAAAGAATTCCGTTTTTGGGTCAAATACCTAAATTTTTCCCCACTCCCAAGTGTTCTTCCGTCTGTTCTTTGTCATTTGTTAAGTTCTGGTTGAGTTGAGTCGATTCCCTCTATCCCAAAGTCGATCTTAGGATAGCCCTTGTAGAACATTTTTAGGTATGTGAACTGGTGAGGGGTTCGTGAGAAGTCTAGTACCAATTCCCCTATTCTAAAGAGAAGGAACACTTAATCAGCGCAGCACAGTGTCGAACCAGGGCCTTTCGTGTATTCAACTTCATCAATGCCACTGTGCATTCTATGTCTATGCATTATAGATAAAATTAGATACAATAGATACTAACTAACCTTTTTGCTCTAGTAACTATAACTTTCTTACTAATGAGGACCTCTTTACTTATTAAAGCGAAAATTGTTTTTCTTGTTTTTATTCCTATTAGTTTTCGTGATTTTCCGTAGGAAGAGGAGTGTAATATAGTGATAGTGATGTTGATCGTCGTGAGCGTGGTAACGACCGCGTGCCTGGTTCATCAAGCCTCTGGCCACTACGGGGTCAAGAAATCGGTACCAGATTTGTCTGTGAGAGGTTCCTTTCCAAGTGATAACGCTGTACCGCGGCTATCTCAGAACGGGAGAATCAATTCACTCAGTATTCAACGACATTTATGATGAAAGCAAATTTCTCAATAAGCAGCTGAACCGACAGTCAAAAAATTGGAAGACCTTCGTGGATGATGCATCTAAGGAGGGGAATCGAATGCAACAAGTGCTGGGATGCGCACAATAGATGTGGAAAACGGGTTGCATAAGATGAATAAAAATAACAATTTTTATTTGGAAACTATTTCAGATACTTTGGGTTTTCTATTTCAGATAATTTGAGATATTTTTTACCATTTTATCCTCAAATGTGCAATGCTCGTCTTCATATGTGGACCATAATATTTTCTACTCAGTTTTTTTCTTGTGTTACCATAGTCTATGGATGCCTGGGTCTCCCTATGTACTTAAGACAGCAAAGTTGGGAATGAATGAAAATTTTGCAGTGATCAGAACGCAATTCTAACAGATGATGGAAGCTTCACGACGTTTGTTCCCGATCCACTACCATATTTTCCCTTTTTGCTGCTATATGTCATGTGTTAATATTTATGATCCTGCTGTCTAAAAAACGCTGTAGGAAAGGAGACGGTGGTAATTTCGGAAGAGACGAGATTACCACCGTCTGTTTCTCCTAGAGCGCTTTTTAGACACGAGGGCCCTAATTTTTGAGTTTGAATACATCTTTTGGTAGTGAAAATATCATGTTTCTTAAGGCCAGAAGTGCAAAGTTTGGCTTCAAGATAGGAACTGCTTGGAGCTCAGTGAATAACAAGCACACTTTTTGATGTTTAAGAGATGTTGTTCCACATTTCAGTGTATACTGCATTTTATCTTTGCTGTTTGCTATGGAGATGAGTTGTACTTTCGTATAATTTTATCTACAACTGAAAGTTCATTCTAGAAATGGAAGATGATCAGTCAAGAAAAGAACGAGGCCCTCGCATGATGACCGATGAGGAAGGATGGACTACTATCTTAAGGAAGCAGTGACTTGTTAATGCCTGAAATTTTCCTGATGGTCATTCTACAGAACTTGGGGATTTTTGTTTCAAATCTTCATCTCATCCAGTAATGTAAGAGCGATTTGTAGTCCTTTTGGGCTATTTTGCCAATATTGTTTTGTTATATATATTTGTTGAGATGTCTTTAACCTCAGTGACAAAACGTTGACAAAGGTCTTGTTCGGAGCCAAGGTCTAAGTATATTCTAGGGATAAGATTTTTATCATCTCTTTGCTAGAAAACGTGCTCTTAAAATCGATAGTTTACTGTTTAGTCCTAATCAATCCCATATTGTAACAAATGAAAACGTTCACAATGTAGTTCGCTATTACCATGTGTTAGCCGTAGTTCGTCACTTAGCAACATGGATGAATGACCGTGTCATGCAAACATCGATCTTACCATTAAATCCGTCGTTCGTGAACCACCCAGTTAGTTTCGCATTTAACTGTTCGCCGTTGTTCCGTAAAATTACGCAACAGAAAATTGTGATTTGCATCCGCTTTCATTCTTGTGTTTTAAAGAATCGTATAATACTGATTGTACTTTACTTTATGGTTAGAAGCAAGTCTATTGACTTGTGATTGCCAAGATGTGATATGTTGATTTTGTTACGTTGATGATTTCTGTTAAGAGGTTTTTGTTGCTTGTATTATCAACGGTGCCATGATTATACAATAGGGTAAAAATTTTCTCACTTACGTTTCTGGTGAGCTATTGACGGTTTGATTGCCGTATTATTAATGTATGTCTAGTTTAGCCACGTTTTATTTTCCCTGTTTGGTTATTTTTTATATTTTTTTACCCACTTCGCTGTCAAAATGGTGGCGCTTTAAAATCGTAACAGAAAAGAGCTTTAAGTAGAAATCTGTGATATGCTTATAACTTCGGTAAATTCTTCTTAACTGCAATGTTTAACGTTTTGTTTTCTGCCTTCTATAATTTTCATGGCAGGTTACTAAGCGAAATACAGCCACAACGTTGCTGAGATATTTGCAAAACTCTGGACCGCAGGTGTCTATGGTGAGGAACGAACGCGTTATTGTCCTTTCCAGTTCAACCCCGCTGACGAGTGATTGCTGTGGCAAAGATCGATAGAAATAGCTGAGAGACAGGCGAAACGAAGGACCCGCATGGTGTGGTGGTGAACGCGTTACTCCCCGGAAAGGACAATAGCGCGTTCGTTCCCCACCATAGACACCTGGGGTCCAGAGTTTTGCAAATATCTCTTCTTAATTAGCTGGTCACGACTACCTATGTAGGATAAAGGATAAAGCTCTGGGTGTTCACCAATCCCTAAGAGATGTGCGTTGCATTCAATTTCATCAGGGATTGTTAAAGTAGATTGAACGCAAATCTGGTCTCTACAATGATTCACGTTGGTTTACTGATGTGTTAAGTCAGTGGTACTCTTTCCGGACAGGTCCGATACTGATTTACCGACTCCTTAAGGATGAAAGGCTTGGTGAGCCTGGTGAGAAATCGAACGCATTTGTATTGCAGAGCACCTCTAACCACTGCGGTACACGCGCTCATATGACTTCTTGTATCTTAATTAATGGTTTACGTTGATAACCGCTCCTCAGTGTTGTCCCCAGTCCAGATGGGAATGCCTTAGCCCGGCTATCTCAAACATTGCCGAGAGGAGCCACTGGAGCGGCATTCTACAACATTTATAAAGAAGACGAAGTGGTCCAGCAGCAGCCAAAACAACTCGCCAGGTGTTCTAGAACCATTGTGTACGATGAATGCGAGGAAAGGAATCAACTGCAAAAAGTGCTGGGATTCGAAAAGAAGATGTATTACCCTTCGTGATTTCAGGCATTCTTATAATGTGGATGGTACGAGATGGTTTTTCTTTGTTTGGTTGTTGGGCAACGAGTGATCGAAGCTGTCCTTTGCTTGTTTGTTTAAAGAACATCCGTTTTGGCGATCTTAACTAACGCGGCTTCTTTAATGCTTTGTATAAAATTGTTGAAGGATTTTCTCAAAAGCTTGATTCAAAGGAGAGAACGTGTTCGAATGGATCCAGGCACTTTAGGATCCTCACACATTATGATTTTCCTCATTGGTTGTTAGTTTGTTTGTTTGTGTTGTAATTTGATGTCAATAATATTGCATAAGCTTTTTTCTTGAGTGGTATAATTGAGTACTGCAATGGACACTCGACTTAAATAATTGTCTGTGTGGATCAGAGGGAGATTTACCACCATGCGACTTTGATAAGAACATTACTTTGTCAAGAACATTACTTGGGTACTTGGATGCTTTGACGGCCCCTTTTCACTGATTGTGCGGGCTCCAGCATATTTTCAAACGCTTCACAGTTTTCCTAGTTTAACCACTGTGGTTCTTTGGAATCCCGAGGTCAGCCTGGCCAAAGTCTACCCAAGGTCTTCACTACCACGGGCAGTACCAGTCCCTGTGGATCAGAGGGAGATTTACCACCATGCGACTTTGATAACAGGACGGTGGTGGATCCTGGTATTGGTTTACCCTTAGCTAGATTTCCTGATAGAAACGCCGGACTCCTGAGCTTGGGAGACCTCGCTGGAGGATGAATCACCCCGCTGTACATTGCATCCCAACTCCTAGGAACACCTGATAGCCACGTTGAGGGGTAAACCGTTGGGAGGTCAAGATAGTTGTAACACAGAAACCTTGTCACACCGAAGAGTTCGCTAACAATCTCATATCAGCTTATTAAGGCAGCAGGATATTGGTTTCCTGATTCGTCAAGGCGCTTGTCTTCCTATTTGTTGATATGGTTTTTTTTCTAAAGTTCATTGCTGTTACATTGTTTGACTTCGGTGTGTGTATAGCGAAATTCTTTCGTTTTAATTTTAGAAAGTGCAGTTGTTACATGTCACACTGTTCCGTTGACGAATTACGTACAAGTCTGGCGAATGCCACAAAAGACACACATAATCTGTGGGAAGAGAATAAAGACTTGCAGGTTAGTCTTACCAAACTTCCGAGCTTCGCAGCTCTTCCTTTTTGCCCTTTTTTGTGCAGCGTGGGTGATGAGACTGCTAGATCTTACGTTTTATCCTTTTTATTCCGTTCTATTTTGTCTTTTCTTTTTTTTTTTTTGAACTACAGTAGGAGCTGTGATATATGGATTTAAGTATTCGTTCCAAATATTTCACCTTTTTACCATGTATCCCGTTGATCATGGAGTTACTTAAGTGGTTAAGAATAATTCTCCACTCTGTATATATGAGTCTTCCAGTAACTGTCACCCACTCGTAGGACGCGCAGAGCACCCTTTTTGTACAGCTACCTTATGGAGTTTTGTTGTGATGAATGGATACACATACAACTTGTCAAGCTCTCTTTGAGAAGGATCAGGTTTATTCGTTGGAGAGGATCTGTAGAAATCTCCTGCCATGTATTTTCACTTTTTTGATCTAAGAATCTTGTCGAATTTAGGGCGGAACAGTCCGTATTCACCCATAAACATCTCCGCTCGTATCCATAAATATGACGGTCTATTATAGAAATATAGGCTAAATAACCATTTCTTAAATCCATCTGCATATCAAAAAAAGTGCTCATTTTGCTTCCTCTTTTCACCCCATTTCCAGAGCACGCGGGCGTCCACGTAACCTAGCGATATGCTTGATTCCTCATTGGTACCTGTAATGTTTTGTAGATTCTCAGCCGTATAGTTTACCTGCTTGAACTTTCAAAAACTTTCATGGAAGTTTCACTTATTCGCCATTCCTATATAGTGAGCAACAATGTTCACAAATAATGTGAGGTTTAGAATAATCGTCGTGGCCGTTCCTATTACTGAATTTTGCGTCCAGCCACTATTACGTGTGGTAGGTGTGATCGCTAAAGTGAATGTTCACCAATTAAGTTATAAGCCTTAACGCGGCGCTACGAAAAGTGATTTGTAGCCGGGCTGGTGAGCTCAGTGCGTGATACATCCTTTCTGGATTCGCAATTAGTCGTACAGTTTTTTCTTTCACTTCGGTCAACTTTTCGCTTGGATATTATGATAACCTGCTGATGAGACTTTCCTAGCTTAGCTACCTGTAGTTAGCTCTCAGGAAGTGCACATTCTTATGTTTTCTATGTGTGCTGACCATATACTGCGAGGTCGACTGTTAAGTGCTGGCAACACCGTGATTGAGTGGTGAACGAACGGATTTATTCAAAACACCCAAGAGTTGAAAAGCTCTAAGAAATGATGCACTATATAGAAGCACATAAAGGGTGTATAAGATATGAAATGGGCAAATATGCGATAAAATGCAAATAAAAAGCGAATTGTTGGCCTTAAATACACAAAATGCATGATTTGTAGTGCTGCCAATATTAGTGCCATCGCGAATGTGTTAAGTAAGCTTCTGTTCTTTTGGATCTCAATCCACTACTCTTCTTCCATGTGTACTTCCTTACCATAGGAATAATACGATTTGTATCAATCAATGCATCCCTTATGGATCACGAATATGGGATATCTACTGGAGGTTTTATATAGCCAATCTTCGCTTGATGGGTGGCTATGTTATACCGCTGCAGTGCTTTGGTTAAATTGCATTGTCCCCGACGTTGTTGAAATGTTAGGTCATGGCTTAGGTTCACGAAGCTTTCTAAAATGTGCTATCAAAGATATACATCCCATGAGCGGTGTAATCTCACCCTACTCATGTTTTAAACTCATCTTCAATGTTTACAGTGCGTTCGGGTGTGCTTTGTAAGTAGGTTTAAAAGTCAGAGAACCCAAAATCATTTGTTCTCGATTAAAGTAAGTTTTCCTTCTGATAACGTATTCTCGCGATCTCTTCGGATTTGTATTGTTTTTTGCTCCTCTTTGTGTCGTTCTTTAAAAGTCACCTCCGCTTCACTTGTTGTGAACTAGACGGTTCCACTTTACATGAAGGTCAACCGATTCTCCCACGGAATATGCCGCTGTCGATCCCGTTTTGAGGTAAGGGTGGTAAACAGGTAAAGAGCTCTGTCATGGTCCTCTGAAAAAGAAAACCTTATCGTCGCTAAATAGGTGTTACAACACGATAAGTACTGACAAGACGACCTTCGATTAAATCCTGTGTACCACATTTTTTGTCGCTGATAAAGTTAGAACAGTGAACACTCGGTATTCGCTGAACATTTCTATAACAATAGCTATAAATTGTATTTCGTTTTTGAGATAAAATCATTTCCAGGCTTTCTCTGGTTTCATGCCAGTCAGATTTTGAACCTAATGAGTCCTAGCATGGGTTTAATGTTTTCCGGATACAGTGATGGAATCCTTTCCCAATTTCCATGTTAAATTCCTTCTGCAATTTACATCACTGTTCCATTTAGAAGCACCTCGCACATAGTTGGGGTTGACGATCACTCTGCAATTTGGATCTTCTGTTGTTCCTAGTTTTAGATGTAATGTAAGGCTAATTGGCACTATCCATAACCTCTTTTTCTAGCTTATCAAAAATAACAAACTAATTTTAACCACAATGATGCTGAGATATTTGTAAGGCTGCGGACGGGAGGTGTCTGCGGTGAGGATCGGAGACGCTTACCTATTCCGGGGGCTAACGCGTTCTTCGCCACGCCATGAACGTCGTTCGTTTCGCCTGTCTCTTTGCTAGTTTTCTATCTACCAGTTCCATAAGCAATCATCCTTCAGCGGGATTGATCTGAGGAACATAAATCGGCATTAAACAAGGTTAAACTGAGGCTGTAGGGCGGATAATGCAGTGGTAGTGATGTTGATCATCACGGACATGGTGCTAGTTCGATTCCGCTCCGAGCTAACCAAGGCTGTCATCCTTCTGAGGTTGATGCCGTACTTCTTCGAGAAAAGTCACTCCGTGCAATCCAAAAAAGAATGTACGGCTACCTCAGGATTCCAGTGAGGATCGTCGCAACTACCATTTCTCGGCATTCAAGATGAAATAAAATTCATCAAGCAGTAGCCGAAGCCACGTAGAAGTTGGAAGATCATCGTGGATAATGGATGCGAGGAAACGAATTGAATGTGACAAGTGCTGGGATCCGAACAGTAAACATGAAGACGGATCGTATAAAAGAAAGCTGAGGCTACAGTAGAAATCACAATGTTAACTTTTTTTATTTACTGCCTTCTACAATTTCCACATCAAGGTGTTATTCGAAATCAATATACTGAAATTTAAACCAATTTTAATTTTTCATGTCCAAGTAGAGTTTTCATCATTGCAGGGCAGATTCGTTAATGATTTAAACGAGATATCTCGTATACAACAAGCCATTACGCAGTTGGAGAGGGAGCATCGCCAAGATCAACTTCAGCATGTAAATTTTTTTTAGCATCATTAGTGGTCTTTAAAATTTCACTTTGGAATGTAGTCTGAAAATCACAATCATTTGTTGTTTCATGTTTTACAGTCTCACTTCATCAGCTTTGTTTCCTAATTTTCTCTGTATTTTCCTCTTAGCCGCGTCATTCAATGACAGAAATGCAAAGGAGGGCATCACAGCTATATTCTATGCTAACAACTAAAAGGGAGGAAATCGTTAAGAAGCTAAATGATGGGACGAATTTCGTTGCTTTGCTCCAAGTGTGTTGAACATTGATCATTTTTCGATGTGTATCTATAATTGTTTAAAAAAATGTTTAGAACCAATTAATTAGTGACCGTTTGTTTGACTGGAAGAACCGCCAGAAGTTGGCGCAAGTTGGTGTGCCTTTTGATAATCGGGATGCAATGCTGGATGAAATACAGATGGAGTAAGCTCTACCTTTAAGTGGTTTACTTGACGTACTCGTTTTTGAATGTTCTGTCTCACCATTTTACGTTTTTCCTTTTTACAGGTTCGAATTTCTCGCGGAACAGAATTGGCAACTGCATATGTTCGCTAGTTGGACGTTAGATCTGCTTACGAGAGGTTCTCTTTTTATGCAACAGTGTTTGTGTTAATTTAGCCCTATGTGTACATAATTTGCTACAACTAAGTATATAAAAATGTACTTTTGATTTCGTCACTTGATCAGCTGCTGCTTCTCCGAGAGGCAGAAACATGGTCTGTGCTGTTCTCATTCTTCTGTATAATTCGTCCTTCATTTTGTTCTCCATACTTGTGGAACGAGTGATGTAATCACTATAATCTCGTTTCGCATTCCATCATATCAATGGTTTTTTCTGCAGTGGCTGTTCTTTCTGTTTTGTTCTCAGTCTCCTCCTTTCCATTGCTTCGTTGAGGTCTCTGAACGTTGTGTTTGCTCAGCTGCTTTTTTTAAAAGTTAATATTTCTTCGGCAAAGGTTCAGTAGGAATACTGCTTCGATGTGCATTGTCATCCCACTCAAACGAAGGCATTGTTCATTGTAATGAGCAATGAACAGCCTTAGTGATATTCTTACGTGGTCGACGGTAAATTTGCATTTTTGTGGTGTTTGCCGTGGCAGTCAGCCAGATTTATTTAGGAGTGCTGAACTCCTTGTTGTATTAGCAATGATGGGATTGAATTTGTTTTGACGCAGTCGACAGAAATTGGGTAAGGGAGTAACGTTGCTTCCCGTAGATTTTTAGTATTCTAGCTACGATTCTCTCCGAAACTTTCCCCAAATTTCTTGAAATCTGTAGTAGATTATTCTTTATGATGAACTTTTAGAGCAGACTCAAGAAACAAATCACTCGGTGCTTTTGCTAATTTCCTCGGTCACCTTTTGTTTGGTTACGAAATACTTCTTTAGTTAGGGATCCTTCCCTTTGGAGATAATTTATGTATGGTTTGTCAGAAGTTTGCGTATAGTTCGCACTTTCTCCCTTTGAAGTGGTCGACAATGATGTCGACGGTTGTTGGAACCGTGCTTATCTTTTGCAATGGAAATGCTAGGGTCTAGGTACTTAGGGTCTAACCTGCAGTATAACTATTCTTGTATCAATTTTATAATTTGAGAAGAACTGGGTTGACAACACAACATTATAGTCACTAACATGCCGATGACACTTCGCTACACTGTTTCCTGTTTCTGCTGCCCTCAAGAGTTCTTTTTTTGTCTTTTTGGTTTGAGATGAATTGCTAATGATCCAATTCCATCTATTTTTGTATATCAACGAATAACTCGCAGTCTTCTTTACGGTCTTCTTCTGTTCGCTCGTCATGTTTTAAAAGCTTTGTCCGGAATTTTCCCATTATATAAGTTTTCCCATGCACTAGATGTCAAATGGGCAATCATCATTTGTTTTTGAGGACGTGATTAATTTGCACTCCAATCGTACACCTATGCGATGGGTCATATCTAATGATAATTTTGCTTCTCGAAAACCGATTTTCCACAAAAGGACTTCGCCTTGGATAGAAGCATTGTGACGTTTTTAAGAGAGCGTGAACATTACCGCCACAGGAGTATGTTCTTGCTACAAATATAAGTGAAGCATAAGAAACATTTCCTGCCTCTTTTCATGGGCACGCCACATAGATTCATACTACTTGTAGTCGCTTTCATTAATATTCTGTGCAATTTCACCCTAATGTCTTACTATTTCTGTTATGGAGTGAGTGGATCTATGGGCCATGCGCGCCTGCTGTCCGAGGGTCCAAAGCTGATGTGTTGCCGAATGAGCGTCTTTTTTCTCCTACAGTCTGGATATCATTTTGATAGGGTTTTTCCAGAAGGTCAATAAACGTATTAGCTACCTTTTGTTGGGTAAGGGAAAGGAGGGGGAAGAGGAGAGGAGACTAAGGAGGACGGATGTATTATTGTCTTTTAATTAAGTTTGTTCCAGTTTGATGAGAGTTCCATGCACTTACTTGCTCTTAGCTAAACTTTTGTATTGACTTCGTACTTAATATGAAAGATTTGGCCAAAGAGACAAATGATGAACAAAGTTAGGGAAATGAGGGAGATGTTGGCTAAACTGTCTGCATTTGCTGCACTTAGTGTCTGGTCATCAGTGCATTTTTGTTTGTTTGTTGGGAAATCTAATTCTGCTTAGTCTAAAAAGGGAACTGCTATTGTGACTGTTTTAAGTCGAAATTGTCCAGTTTTTCTTTCCTGTAATTTACATGCAATGTTTTGCTTTTGCATTGACGTTGCTCTCGGTGTTTGCGCGTTCTATATGTGTGGGAAATTCCCTTCAATTCTATTCATGGAGATGGTCGGATTGACATGGCATTGAAGGTATCCTCTTTAACATATTGAGTAGTAGGTGGACATGATTTTCCGTGGAATCCTGGTGTGCTATGGTTTTATATGTCGTCACCGTATCAGGAGCCAGCCCAGAGCTTCTAGAGGACTCTTGCATTATGATTTGGTCCTTTTTTACAGGGCCACTACGATTTTTAACATTAGTTATTCTTTAGGAGATCATGTAATGTGATGAGTTCGAGTCAGAAAATAGATCACGAAAATCAAGTTTTGGTTTCACAGTTCTTCCTGGTTTCTTTGAATTCTTCCATTCCGAATTGCTTCATTCAATACATTCTTTTCAATACATAATAAACAAATTTTCAGGTCCACAGATAAATGACAGTCATGCACATTCTACGGCAGCAAATCTAACAACTTTGACAGATCAGCTCACCAAATTATTGTTTATGCTAATTTCACAAAGCTTCGTGGTATCAATCCAGCCTGAACCTGTGCTGAAAACACAACACAAGTTTGTTACTGAGGTATCCAAAGCAATTCATCTCTGAATCACCCAAACTAGTACTAGATACGCCATGCCCCATTTTCTTTCTTTCATTTTTTATCTTTCATAGTTCTTGTTATTATTGATCGAAAAGGTAGTTTAAGTGTTCCACTAAGTATTCAGCAAATGTGCAAAATTTTTTGGTTGAAATAAATCCCGTATATCTGATACGGTGACTAAGCAAGTTCTTATATCTTCATTCATGGCAGTACAAGTTATTAACTAGTCCTTACACTTATTAGGTCGCCGTGATCTTTATAGGAATCATACCATGCGAAAATAATTTCAACTTTCAAGCCCAAGTTAAAATAACTCAGCCGAAAGTGAATCTTATTACTTACTTACTTACCTGGACGATGTAGAAGCCGAAGTCCGAATTTTATTAGTTTTAACAAAAAGAGTAAAATCATCAGATCTTTGAATATGGGATAAACATTTTGTCGTTTTATCACGACGAATTTCTGATTTCATGGAGCCCATGACATCTTTTGCTCCCACTATCCTACTTCAAAGCTCGAAAGTAACGTTCTCCAGTGTATTGTTTATGTTTGAACTGCCACTCGTCTGTTGCAAATTTTAAAAACTAAGTTTTTTTCACTTTTTGGTGATTGCGGTTCCAAACGTATTTACATTTGAAAGGACAATCTGGAAAAACTATTTATGCGTTTAAGACAGTAGAGCAAAGCTTCTATAAATCTGCATACATGGTGAACTTCTAAAATACTCTATTTGTCAAGAAATTTTCATCAGTTATTAAAGACCTTTATCGTGAAGGGGTCAAAAGCGCGTCTAATTTTTTTCATTTTTTTTTTCATTTTTTTTTTGCATTTCAAATCCTAAATTCTAGTCGTCATCTTTTGTCCTAATGACAGGAGTGGTAGCTATTTCCAGGTTCGTTTGCTTATCGGCGACAAGCTGGGGATTCGCCAGCACCTCGTAAACACAAATGTTACTGTTAAAATTATTGCTGAAGAAGAGGCAAAGCTATTGAGTGCTACACAGATGAACCACAAGGATATGTAGGTTTTAAGCACTTTCCAGAGAGGTCGTTCTTTACATTACCAGTATATGCCGTTGTATTATTAAGTAAAGGTTCTGAAATATTAAATTTAGCAAGAGTGTTGGCAGTATCAGCAACGATTATGAAAAAATGACAATGGATGAAAGAGGGCACATGGCAGCGAAATTCAATAATTCGGTTACAATAGGTGTTTAAAGTGACACAACTTCATTTGTTGGACGTTGTTTTGTTCAGAAGCTGACTCGTATTGCTCACCGCAAACCACCTCCCAAGGGAGCTGCAGCAGATATGAAGTGTGCAGTCAATGTACAAGCTGCAACAGATCAGAAATATGCGTTGCTATTTCACATAAGTCCATTCCAGCTCGGAACTCTAGGAAAAGTGTGTAAGCAGTGGAATTGTTATCGTACTTTATCCCCTAGTGGCTGAGTTGCTTTGGTTCGATCTGTACAGTGAGGGTCATAAGCCGATGACCAACTTCATACATTTTTTTCATAAGTCTAGCACTGAACGGTTTTCAGTTTGACGTGTGGACACTTTCGCTTCCTCTCATGGTGACGGTGCATGGTTCACAAGATTGTGATGCGCAGGGTGCTATCATATGGCATCGTGCATTTGCCTCTGTGGTATGTCTGGGGTCTTTAAAATTGCCTAACGCAGTAGTTCCTGTGAGATTTCGTTACCTTATAGTTCCAACTCCCTTATAGTATTTTTATTTATAGTCTCGTTCACCTGGATCAACTGATATCGCTGCTGTGTCATGGAAGGATCTCACCCATGTCCTTCAACACAAGTTTACGTGAGTTCTTTCAAAGCTCATGTTCAAGGGCTTTTCCCTCCCCATATTGGCCTAGGAACATGGTTTTCGTAACGAGTTAGTTGGAACGGTTTTTTTACAGCAACACAAGGAATGAGTTTTAGGTTGTTCACCGGTGCCCGTCGGCAATTATCTGACTCAGACTTGAGTTACCTTTCTGAGAAATTGGTCGTTCCTAATGTTCCCGATCAAAAACCGATCACATTCCATCGTTTTGCAAAGGTTTGTTGCTGTTGGTTTAATCTAAATATAACGTTACCACTTCTAACACTCATAATGGAGAATAAGGGGGCGAATAGCACAGTGGTAGTGGTGTCCGTCTTCACGAGCATGGCGCTAGTTCGATTCTGCTCCTGGCCTGTGATACTTCTGGGGTCGGGAGATTGGTACTGGATTTGTCTAGGAAAAAATTAGTCTCTGCAATCCAATTGGGAACGCTCCAGCCCGGCTATCTCAGTACTCCAGGGAGAATTGCTCGAACAGCATTCTACGACATTTAAGATGAAATGGCTTATCGGCGAATCCTTAAGCAGCAACCGAGGCCATACGTAAAAGTTTGAAGATCTTCGTGGATAATGGATGCGAAGAAACGAATCGAATGTGAGAAATGCTGCAGTAGACGTGAAGACGGATCAAATAAAGTTAAGAAAGTGGAGAATAATTTAGTACTTTGTGCCGTGTAATACATTAATATTTCGTATTTTTTTTAATTTCTACGTTTTATAACTAGATAATAAAATTCCTTCCAACGGTGTACCGCCTCATCGTGGCTGGGAGATGTTCATGGGTGTCGGGCTGTGATGCACGGTGCGGTGCAGTTCGTCCACCCAGCAGGTTGTCCCAAGCTAAGAAAGACTCCGGCGTTCCCACCAGGAAGCCTAGCTGAGAGTAAATCAATACCAGGATCCGCACCGTCCTGGTATCAAATTAGACGCAAGCCAGCAAATCTCCCTCTGATTCACAAGGGCGGCGACTGCCTGTAGTGGTGACGAACTGGAGCAGTGTTTGGCCAGACTGACCTCCGTCCTCTAGGGAACCGTAGTAGCTAAACCAACAAAAATCAAAAAAAAACAAATTGTCCTGGGGCACGCACAATGACTGAAGACGGGCCATCCAAGCAGGAAACTGATTTTCATGCGTGTGTATTTCAAAAATCTCTACACCAGTGTTTTTCTTTCGGGGAAGAATTCCTTATTCCTTTTATAATCGATGTTTTGCTCTATGCACTAGTCTCAATTTTATAAATTCCTTTATTTGATGTCCTTAACACTTCAGCAAAATCTTCGCGACGACGTCTCATTTTCTTTTTGGGAGTGGTTCTTCGCCATTATGCAATTGATCAAGCAAAAATTGCTCAAATTTTGGGATGAAGGTGATTTAGATCAATATTTAGTTATTAAAAATACGAAATTTTAGCGAATACATTCTTATATCGAAACTTTATTGATGTCCGTATGGAACGAGGTTTAATTTTTGGTCTAGTGCAGACTCTCATCCCACTATCCCAAAAATAAACCCGCCCTTCTTTCTGGAATGCTCTCATTCCACCACCCCCCCTCCCTCCATCTCCTCTCTCCTTCTCTCCCTTCTCTCCCTCTCTTTCACCCTCTCTCCCTCCCTCTTGTGTCTGTTTGTAATCTGGGTTTCTTTTTATTTACTTTGTAGTTGCTTTGTTTTTATATTTGTATATCCCTGTGTTTTCCCATGTGTTTTTTCATGTTTTCTAGAACATGCCCAGCTGTGGTAAAAATTGTACATATGGAAAAAATTCTACCATTAAATTACGATGCCGTCAGTACTGTCATCGTTTAGCAATCGGGTACACAACAAATTTTTTTCTACTACGTATCGTTATACACGTTATACATAGGAGTGGATAGCGTAGTGGTAATGCTCCAGCTCACAGACGTCCAACCTACCTACGCACTGGCCTGAGCCCGCATTGTGACCACCAAGCGTCATCTCTGCAGGCTCGAGAAATTGGTATTGTCTGGGGTACTCCCGCTCTTTTCAATTCATATGACGCCCTAACACGGCTGTCTCAAGATTCTATAGAAAATCGACTCGATTAGCATTCAGCGACATCTGTTACGAAGAAAAATCCTCAAAGAGCATCCGATGCCACACGCAAAAAATGAGTGAAGACGTTTTAGGAAAGTGGGTGCCAGGAAACAAATCGAATATACTGGGATCCGCACAGTGTGATATATATGATATAAGGTCATGTAATAAATGATAAATTTTCATGTATATTGTGTAAATCCTAGTTCTTCTTCAATTCTATCCGATTCATGAATCTATTGTCAACGAAATTATTCAGACCTCTGGTATAGGTTCCTGTGCCGTTTGAGGATTTCAGTCTTTTTCATGAATGTCCATGAATGCTGGTCGAGTAGATCCTCCTTAGAATTCTGAGATTGTTGTGATGGGACGTCCAGGGGCTTTTGTTGACCCGCTGTGGGATCAAACTAGCGACCTAATGAACTAAAATGCATGCGCAACAACAGTTTGTATACAAGTCTCGGTTGCTGAGGAATTGAATGAAAACAAAATCAGGGTGATTGGAAGGTGCAGAACGAATAGGAAAGGACTCCCAGAGCAGGTTAACAGGTAGAATCTGAGAAAGGAAAGTGAATATATAGCACAACTAGAGCGCATTCAGATAGAATGATAAAAGGAGCATAATTATGTTGTTCATGACAACCTATAGCTTAGGTAGATATAGTTCTTCGATTTGGTCATCCAGATGTTTGCTGAAAGCATTTATTGAGGTCCTTTGCGATAGCATGTAGGGCAACCGGACAAATGGTTTTAGTGTCCAAGTCTATTTATGCTGAACTCTGGCAGATAGAGCGCCTACACTTTGATTTGGCTATGTTGTATGAAGGGCTTAAAAAGTTGTGCTACCGTTGTAGGGATTTGGTATGATGTCACTAATCCATATCTGCTGTCGCGTATACTAAAAAAGACAGCAGGCAGGCAGTGAGACACATGTTCTTGTTTAGGTTCTGTCGACAACGGTCACCAAAAATTGCGAATTTTGTGTAAAATAGTGTGTATAAATTGCAGAATTTAGAGAGTATCATTGCCCAAAAATGACGAAATTTTTAAAGTTACCTGCTAAATACAGAAGGTGTAACGGAAATGCCCTACGCAACAATGAAAGCAGCAGTAAAGAATATGGGTTGGAATCAATTCATACCGGCGGTTCTGCCCAGCCCCACACATAAATTGAGATTAACTGATGTATCGTGGTATGTGTTAATGTTGTTAATTTTTCGTGGTTCTGTTAAATCTATTGCTTCAGGATGGTTGGTAGGTTTCATATCGAAACAAGACGCCTCACAATCAATGATGTTGTCAAATCATCCCACGTTTTTGCTACGATTCAGTGACACTCAGACGGGAGCTGTTAGCATTGGATTCGTTTGTGAAGATGATGACGGTCAAAAAGGTATGTCTACTTTGTTAGAGCGCAATGAGAGTAGAAATTATTCCTCCAATCTTCTTAAAAGATTCCGCCGTGACTCATTTACCTATTAATTTTGCCGATTTTCTGAAATCTTACTTCTTAGTGCCATTCCATCTCGCGCCGTTTACTATCAAAGACCTTGATCAGTTGTCTCTTGCCCAACGAATAGCCAGTTGTCCTCAATTGAAAGAAATTAGGTAACGTTTTTTGGTTTACTTCTTTTATTTTTTAATCATCGAAGCTTTTTATTTCTGTGATAGGTGACCTTAATTTAAAAAAAGCAGGTCATATTTTTTCTTAATATGCCGAAGAGGTGGCGCAGTTCGAAGGCGCCCTGCAATAGGCACACGGAATCGATCCCCAAGCTCATGGCCCACCAAGCCTTACATCCCTCCGGGGTCGAAAAATTGGTACGAGACTTGTCTGAAAAGATAGCAGCACCGGCTTGGTACATCGGCAGGCCACTGTGAATCATTGTAAGGGCCAGATATGCATTCAATCATCTCTAAACAATGCTTAATGAAGTCGAATGCATGGCACATCCTTCAAGGATTGATCAACACCAAGAGCTTTGTCCTTAGTCCTTTTTATGCTGTTTTTGTTTTTATTTTTATACTTTCCTGTATTTCACGCGCGCTTTCTTGAATGCGTCCGAAATGTTTCAATGGAGAATTCTGGAGCATTTTTGTTCTGTAGCTGGACGGGATCAGCTTAGTCATTGCTGTTGAATTAGTCATAGGCTCCCATACCCAACATGACATGAATTCATTGTAGTGTTTGATTGGAGATCTCAGTTGATTTTTCCCTATTTAATGGCATTTGCTCTTCTGCAGATGCACCATCTTGTGGTGTACAGTAGGATCTGCATTTATGTTAGGTTGTGTAAAATAAAATAATTGTGCTATCGCGTCGGGTCGAGAACTTTTATCCTTCGTTTCGTTGTGATTGTTTTACATCAGCAACTATTAGCTGATTATCTCGATAAATGGCGATGGAGAGTGCTGAATCCAATTCAGATGTTAGAAGAACTTGGTAGAGTCTAGGTAGTCAGTTCGAAACCTCTTGTCTGGTCGACCGTTTATGTACAGAGCAAAATTGGACGATTTGCTGGGCGATTCGCTTCAACATCGGAAATGGAGATTGCACAAGTTCAGGTACAATACATCTGATCTTGTATAGGGCATTCGGTGGTAAGTACTTGACCAAACCAGTGTTTCTGCATAAAAATCACCTAAATAGGAAGCTGTATTATGTGGATAGGGACTAGCTGAAGCAGAGAGGTAAATCTTGTTGAACATCGAATAAGTCGATTGGGAAACAGGAAACTCTCCGTTTGTATTCCTCATAGGCTGGAAGAACCGCTTCTATTCGCGCAAAATCCAAAAGTGGTATCATTTTTTAGTATACTGCTGTCTTTTTCCTTTGTTTTTGGAGAAAAATGTTAATGGGTCGCTTGGCTCTTCTATGGCATATCTTGAGCAAAATCACCACGATGGAAAATTTCTGGAGTAATATACAATTCATACAAATAGAGTGTTGTTCTAGAACTGTTATAAACAAAGAAATATGGTATGGTCTACATATTTAATGTGATCTTTCTCTCTCCATCAGTACTCCTCCATCAATAGTTTACTTCTCTTTGAAAATGTTCTTATTCAAAGTTCTGTAAAACTGCCTACTTTATCGTATGCTAGCTTTAATCCGTTCCAGATATCTATATCCAAACATGGATAAAGACGAAATGCTACGCTATTTTGACAGTGAAGAACGAAACCGCGGTGGACCCGACAGTCCGACTGGATATATCCAGTCAGAAATAGTGATGGTTGCGAAAACATCTAAGTAAGCAGTATTATCTCTTAAATAACATCTTAGTTATTGTCGTAATTATACACAATGTCAGCAAACCCTCATCGACCTCAGTCATTAGTGGTGGTGACTCACCATCTCCGCAATCGGTGCAGTCGAAGTCAGAGTGGTCACCTGGGGAGGTGATCCGGCCGTCTCAGTCAATGGATATGTGAGTTTTCATATATTTTCTAATTCCGATCTTGCTACTGTTTAAAAAAGAAAACGTTTTCTAAATCTTAATAGAACGAGTTTCAGTCATTTCTTTATGCTAATTTAGAGGGGATGATCTGGCATCAATGTTATCCTCATCGGGACTTGACAGTTGTAGTGGTCACGGAGATGTGGAATCACTACTAGGTCCAGGTTTCCGGCCACAATTACTTTCACAGCCGCTTCAACACATTGACTTGTCATTCGTAGATTCCTACGATAATTCAGCTTTCTTTCGACATGAGTAATAAATTTTCTAAGCGTAACTTTGTCATTGCACCTTGAACTCCATAGGTTACAAAGTTTATGCGTTGATTGTAGTTACTTTGACCTTATCCCTTAGATCGTTATTTTATGTAAGATATCTACAATTATTCTTATGGAACTCAATTTGTTACTTTAATTGTTAAGTTCTGCTGACACAGTCTTTAATTATTTCTGCATTAGAGCTCCATTTTAATATGGTGTGTCATCCTTACTCTTTTCTTCTAGTTTTTTTTTTCCTAGAAATAACTAGGTTTGTATAGTTGTTATTCCATGTTCCTGTATTCATTCTCTATTTCATTATGATGAATGATCATAAATATATGTATAGGTCATATCTATTCATATCAATTATTCAAAAAGAATTAATTGTGCTTGGTACTTCTAAGCTTTTTGTGCCTAACGAAATCTACTTCTTAGGTTTCGGTATTAGGCAGACGATGTGTAGTTTTATGGGTTTATCGTCTTCATGCTAAACAAATGGCATTTTGTTTCATTTTGTTACATATTGTACTCAGTTTGGTCCATCTGTTTCCGTAGAATCATTTTATTCGTTAGATCTTAAATTTCAACGACTGATTCCGTTGTGATCTCTTATACTCTTCTCAATTCTGCAGTGCTATAGAACATCAGATTTCTAGTCCAGATTTTACTGTTTACTAGTCAGATGGATTTCTCTCATTGGTCCACGGTATACAGATTTCTACTTTGTCGATGGTTATACGTTATTTTTGTTGTATTTAAAGCTCAGTTGCAACATAAATATCCTTGCATACAAAATGAAAGCATTCAAGTCACATTTTTTCATGGGAACCTTTCCATTTTAATGGAACAGTATAGAGATTGGGTTTCCATGCGGGACGTTGCTTCAATTCAGTCATTTTTCCGAGGTGAATTCCAATTTTCTCTTTGGATCTGTTCTTGTAAACTGTTAATCGAATATAAGGTTTTTCTATACTAGACTCGTATCGACTCGAACACGCAGAAAATTAGTGGTTATTCATACCGGGGTTTAATGAAACATCCTTTGAGAGGTGTTCTTGGTGTACTGATATGATGTTGGTGGACAACCATTTACTCCATGATGGTTAGCGATTAGGGGGACTCGCCCTTTATCCGAGACTGGAGAATCTTAACTGCCGCGCGCGGGCAATGTGATGGTGTTTGAAAAAACTGAATGGTAGGAAAACAGTGTTCAAAGGCTTTCTGGTATGATTAAAATATGTCTTGTGAGCTTTTCATCGAAGTTAACAAGCTGTTACAATGTTACAATGGTTAACTTCGTGTAAATGTGTCCTTTTGCATTCTGGAGAATGTGAACTCAAGAAGAAAAGTTACCATGTAGCTGAACAACCTCATGTTGGCTTATAAAGAACACAATAGCTGATTGATCCACATCGATGTTAACTGAGGGTCGAACCTTCGAATCCATCAGCTTTTCTCATCAGTTCAACATGTTTTTCTTTACTAAATTCGATCCATATATGTCTATGCGAATATTTAAGGTTGTTCCTTCGCACTGTTTAATGTGTGTAGTGATGTACGGTGTAGTGATATTAAAGTGCTATACATGAAATATTTAATAGAATTTGTAAGAAAGACATTATGGCGCTAGTATTTTGTCCATAAGGTTGCCGAGGTGATCTTTGTTGTTTGGGGCACCACGTGTTCTGCTTCAAATCAGGTAATGGTGCTAGCGGATATCAGCAGACCTTATTCAATCACTGTTTTCCCCGCTAAATGTCACCAGTATGTCGTATCAGTTCAAAATTTTCCTTGTGAACTCAATTAACCGGGTACCTAAAGTTTATATTTGCTACTACAATAGCGCTCAGGCTCCGGAACTCCTTTTTTTGCAAAGCGCCGATAATTTTTCGGTAAATAAAGCACCAATACCAGGAATAACCACCGTCCTGGTAACAAACTAGTCGCATGGTAGTAAATCTCTCTCTAGCTGACCTCGGGATTCCAGGCAACCACAATGCCTTTTTTCCCAGCAAGCCAGACCAGACCAGCACCATTGACCAGCAACACTCCGAAAAGAACGGAAATTATGCTGGGGACCGCACAACCAATGAAGATAGGCCATCCAAATATCCCAGTAAGTAAATAAAGTGTTAGAGGTGGTGTTGAAAACGTGACCGACTTATAGGGGGAAAATTTGCTGTCTTGCTATGAGTAAGTAGAGTTATTTAAAAGTGTTACCAAATTTTTGAAGTAGCTCACAATTTGAAGTTCCCAAAGAAATGAAGGCGAAATTTAAACTTTTAAGGCTGAGAACGAAATCCCGAACGAAAACGGACATCAACAGTGCATTCGAGGAAATTATAGTGCTCTGATGGACGAAATGCCGTTTATTCAGCTGCTTTTGTTGTCGAAACACACCTCGAAGGAAAAAGTGCGCGAAATACGTTTGGTGGTCTGCGGAAAATTAGCATTCCATTGTGATAAAAGAGAAGAACTTCTATCCTCTAGGAAGAGTAATAAGATCTACAGATTTAGTGATCTACAACTATGAAATTGTAATCTATAACGGGGCGGCTAGCATAGTTGTAGTGATAGCAATCATCGCGAACACGGTACTGGTTCGATCCTGCCGCAGACTTGCTAAGACTCTCATCCCACCGGGGTCGTGAAATTGGTACCGGGCTTGTCCGGGGAAAAGTCAATCTGTGGAATCCAATTGGAAAGGCTGCAGCTTGGCTATCTCAGGAACCCAAGGAGAATCGACTCCACCAGCACTCAACGATGTTCATGATGAAATGAAAACGGCCGAAGCCACACGTAAAAGTTGGAAGAACTTCGTGGATGATGGATGCTAGGGAACGAATCGAGTGTGAGAAGTGCTGGAATCCGCACAGTAGACGTGAGGACTGGTCGTGGCACAAAAAAAAAATAAAACCTACACTGGGCTGGCTTAAATTTCAGTTACAATTTCAAGCTAACCGTTATCTTTGCACTATGTTAGTGAAGATGAACTCATATCGGACCTAAAATGTTAAGGAAGTGCATGTGTATCCATGGACATCCCTTAACTACTGTACAATACAAATTCCTCATTTGGTCGCTAAAGTAGCGGCTTACAATCTCCACAATTATATTACTTAGATAGATGGACAGTTGGATGACTCATATTTATATGTCATGCGCGCTCCAGTACTTCATCTCATTGTCTTCTTTCTATGAACGCTTTCGGATTTATTTGTAGGCTCGGCTACTATTTGAGAATGGTGTCTTCTTCGCAGAACGTTGTTAAATATTATGCAAACTATTTCTCCCTAGAATACGGGTTTTCGGTACCCAATACGCAGTTGTTTACGCTACAAAATCGGAAGGTGTCAGGCAATTGACAAAAAAATTCGACCTATTTAACCATGAATCTAAATGGCAAACCATTTACAGATACATGGGACGGAATTCCAAGCTGGTTTAATGACTGATACAACCTGCGATGCCACCGGCGGTATAGCTCAGGGGTAGGGCGCTCGCTTTGCATGCGAGAAGTCTGGGGTTCGATTCCCCATACCTCCAGATCCTTTGTCATCTAGGTTTACGATCAACAATGGAGGAATTCTTGTCAATCCCGTGATTGTGGACCTCGTGCAGTTTTCGGGCATCCGAGATGCTGTAGTTTATGCCATTAAATCGGAAGAAACCACGGAATTCACAAAAAAAACTTGACCCTTCCTTACTATGAAGTTAAATCTCAAAACATTTGAAGCTATTATAACCAGGAAAAAATTTACATCGATTGGTAGGCTAGAGCGTTCCTAGATCAGCAACAGAGGCACTCGTTTAATCAGAAGAACTTTTCTCCAAGGAAACCTAATAGCAAATGGCCGACCGCAAGAGCTTTGGAGGCGTGACTGACTTAGAAAGTCGTCGAACCAGCTGTAATACTCTCACTGTATAGCTGTGACTGTTCTGTTCCCCACGTTATTTCGTTGTAAATCTTCGACTTTTAACAATATGAAAAAAACGCGCAGTAAAGGTAGAGCGGTGTTGTTTGAATCGGTATCCTCTTGCCGTCAAGGGTGATTCAAAAAAAACTGGGTAGTTAAATTTTTATGGCAATAATAAACTGTTAACATAGTGAGATTACTAGATGTATTGTAACAACACGAGGACTAAGTGTTGACAGTAACAACTATCACTTATGGAAAATATAACAGGTCTAATTCGATGTTTTTCTGTATGGAACCAAAGACATCGTGACATCATCTTGCGGAGACTTCCAGGTTGTGCGGGCTATGGTGGACTGGCTCGGGTCCACCGTAGCCCTCAGTTTAGATTAGACGAAGAATCCATTCTAAAGCTGTGTAATCACTGAAGTGGTAGTGACGTTGGTATGTTAAGGAGCATCGAATTGGAAGTGAACGATTGTGGATGATACGATGAAGAAGCACTTCTTTGTGTAGTATACTGAACAGATTATCCACTGCACATTCTCCGTCTTCTTCCTTGACGTATAACGAACTGGTGCTAATGTGTATCGAACTTTGTATATCTATTTTTCAGTTCATATTTAGTCTTTGATCGTACACAGAACTACAATGAGAGGCATAGAAAAGCAAGAACTTAGTGAAGTGATTCCTACCCATTGTAAATCATTCTTAGATATTTTGTGCTGTTTTGCCGACCTTCTCAACTACATATTGCGCTATCAGTTTTTCAACTCCACCATAGTTGACGTATTTGGGGACGTTTTCTTCTTTATCAGATTGCAGAACGTAAACGTTTGAAGATGACGATTTTTGTCTCATCAGGATATTCTGCAGCTCGTTAAGAGATGGCTTCCTTAAGTACGTTGCTAAGGGGGACGTTGGGACTAACGTTGACTTGTGATTGCTGGGTCGGACGTTGATGGAGGTGAACTCGTCGGACTGAGACCTGTCCGAGATCGTTGGCGATGTTATGTACTTCAAATGATCCGCTTGTCTGAAATAGTAAGGGATATTATGAATCCCATAAACTGTTTACTTAA